ACGATTATTTTCATTGTCGATTAATCTGATGACCCAATTAACTGTTTGGTCAGTTAAACATCAGAAAATAGTGTAAAATACCCATCTCAATTTCCCAGGGTTCAATGTGACACCTTAAAATCCCGTGTTTTGTTCAAAAGCAGTCCAAATCCAAATGTACAGTTTACAGTTATTTAGAACAGAGAAAAACTGTAAATTATTACATTTAAGAAGATAGAATCAGCAAATAATTTGGATTTCTTAAATCTTCTTGAAAATAACTTAAAATCAACCATCAAAGTAGTTGATGATTGATTTTCTGTTGATTGATAAATCATTTTTATCAACTATTTGTTTCAGTTTTATACCATACACTATTCATGCTATTTCATTAATGATATAAGCATCCACGATTAATTTAATTTACACCAAAAAAAGTTCCTGTGGTCTTTGTTCCTCTGTTGTAAACCACAAAATACAACATCAGCTGGATCTAAATTTCAACATTTGTCTCGATGTAGTCTGTGCTTGCCCCAGAAGTCTATTTCTACACCTGATATCCACCAACACAATTGCAAAATATATATATATAATGCAACATAACCTCATTATCCTCAATTGTGGCCACAGCCCTGAACATCCAGGAATTAAACTTATGAAAGACTAACATGGAAACTCCAGGCATAGCTAAGACTGTAGAAATACTGAGGTCATGGCTCAAAGTTCCCTGAATTGACTTTTCATCATCTAAATGTTATTTCCATGCAGTAAGGTCGAAGTGCTATCTCAAAGCCATCTCTGCAGTCTGGGGAAACATTCTGGTGGAAAGTAATGAACCCTTTATTTTAGTTTATTTTGATGGATGGATGAATAAAACCCCACAGCGGCTGCAAAAACCCTGTGTATCTCAGTGTCTTCAGTGGTCGCTACAGCTTTGTCAGGAACCACTAATCAGTTTTAGCCTTTGTTGTTCTTATCTAACTGGTGTATCATACACTGTTAACGAGAAACTAATCAGCCCATCATGAATTCAAAATGAACTCTTTTAGAAAACATTTCCTTCCAAACCAAATGTTAAAATGTGAATTTTAAATAAAAAAAAATATTTTACAGTAGGCTACACACCTGTCTCAGTTTAGATCCGTTTAAGATGAAAATGAAACCGATGTAGATCGGATGTCAGTTTAAAGTGTGACGTTGCCAACTTTTTGTCATTTTCCATCATCTGAAAGGAATGTCATCTAAAAAAACACTGACATCATTCTGACTGGTTCTCATACTCAACACTCCTTATTAGTTCAGGACAAAGTGGCAGAGTCATTTATGTCTATTTTTAAATCCAATGGAATTTAATCAATGATTTACTAATCACCGATGTAAAAATACATGAACACATCGATTGAATACATGAACAGGCAAAAAGATTTATGGACTGATTGTTGCTCTATCCTCAAATGTGTGTGTGTGTGTGTGTGTGTGTGTGTGTGTGTGTGTGTGTGTGTGTGTGTGTGTGTGTGTGTGTGTGTGTGTGTGTGTGTGTGTGTGTGTGTGTGCGTGGTGGATGTTAGTTTGTTACACCCAGCAAATAATTACTATTCATAAGAAAACAGTCCAGTTCAGTTCAGAGCTTGATTGTCCCACAGGAGGAAATTCTTGTTGCAGGGAGGCAGCATATAAGCATAAAACATAAGCACAATGAAGACACAAAAAGACAGGAAATGTCTCCTGGTCATTTTAAATATTTTAAATCTTTTTCCGGTGGGAGAGTTTGTTTTGGGTGGAATGGTTTATTGATGAGATGCACGGAAGTTGCTGATGTGGCATTCCTTAATCAGATCTTTAACTGTTGCCTGTAATTAACAGGAAATAGCAGAAACTTTAGACGGGAATTGCCCAAAACTGTGCAGTTCAGTATTAGCTCTGTAGCCAGTATCTTAAAATTAGACCTAATCTGTGGTGCTATTCAAATGTGCAGTTTCTAAAAACATAAACTAGTGATTACAGAAAGAAAGTGACTATTAGTTTGTCCTCTTAAAGGGGATAAAAAGTATATTTTGCACTGATAAAGTTTTATTTGATTATTTATATGTAAGAGTTTAGACATTCATTTTAATGCTCTAATTGTGCAATAAGGATACAGCTTACTTCAAAAGCACCACGGCTGGCAGTCTATAAAAAGTGCAATGAAACCCAACACATGGAGCTGCTAACTGACTCATAACCATTGGTTTAAATGAACAGTTTTAGTGTCTCACAGTCTGTATGCTGTTTCATGGAGTTTTACACACTGTGCTTCCTAAATATTCCCAGAGAAAGCATTAAATATCTTCTAATCTTTTGTAACTTTTAATTGATAATATTTAGATATGTAGATTATCCACATAAATTCTTGGATTCTGATTAATTTCACCTCTCTGGTTTCAAACATTGGAAGTGACCTTTGGTTGTTTACAAATACTGGTTGTAATTCTAGACCACAAGAATAACACAAAATGCTAAAGTGGAGGTTTTGTTTTTTTGTTTTCTTTAAATATGGACTGATAAAACCAAAACGTTGCACTAACTGTTGTTTGTATGTTCTTGTATATTACCATTCCAGGTAAAATCTTTAATATACACAGAGATAAATATGCACAACCTAAACCACTCACTGTGTGCTTTGTTGACATTTCATTACATAAGCATTTCCTTTGATGGTGTGCATCTTTCTCTGGTAGATACTGCCCCCTTGTGACTGTTTTTGGATTTTTGCTGAGAGGAGGCTTATGAATTCTTTTCATTGGTAAAATAATATTAATGACAACAATACAAATCAGAATAAATAAAATAAAATAAAATAGATTGGTCCAAATCATTAGTGAGAAAAAACTAAATAATCACCTTTAAATTATGCATCTGACATTTAGCATTTATTTTCTTATTGCAGCTAAATGTTTACCTAAATTTGAGCTCTGGCTGGTCATGAAATGTGACCTCTAATATGCTAGTGTGTGGCTGTATCATTATGTAAATCATGGAGGAGGCTTAGCAGGTGGAGCAGATCTGGCATCAACCATAGAGCTGGTGGTCCCAGGCTCCCCTCAACCATATGTTGAATTGTCCTTGAGCAGGACACTGAACCTCATTTTGTTCTAGATGTGTGTGTGGGAAAAATGTCAGCTGTTTTGGCCAAAAGCCTCTGCCAAATGAATATAATATGCTGTGGTGGCAATTCAACCACCATATTCCTACAGGCCACCAGAGGTCTCTCCTCTCATGTTTGACTGGGTTATATATTCTGAGGAAGAGAATATTCAATTTACAAATGCTTATGCTATATTCTGCATATTGAATTAAATGCAGTTATATCTATGTGATTCTTCTCAAAAGTCTCCATACCTGTCTGACCTGTGCAGAGGACATTCACTTCACCTTCCACTCCACTGTGTTCAGGAAGATTTTCTTTATAGCACAGCACATGAAATATTGAGGAGTGTGGTCTCCAGGGAGCAGGAATTACTTCAGTATGCAGCTTGCAAGCAGACTTGTGATTTATACTGTTATTCTAATCACAATGATATCACATAATTGCTTTGTCTGGGCTCAGTGTTTGCTCTCAAATAATTCTTGCTCATTTTTGTCCTATTAATTTTTTAAGTTCTGATATAATGGTTTTCCCTGCCTAAATAGGGTTTTCTGTGCCGACTGTTGGGGAAGCTAGTAGGAGGAATGAAAGTTAGATTAGTGAATTTCTTAGAGATTCCTATAAGGATGACAGACTCTACAACATGTACTGGAAGCAAAGAGCAACCAATAGGGTGACACACATGCTGTTCTGACACTTGGCACAGATGAACATATCACTAGCTTTTTTATTCATCTGACACATGCACATCCTTTCCTTTATCCAGCCTCTGTAACATCTGTGGTGTGGCCTACATGCTTCAGAGGAACCAGTCTTTGACTTTGAACTGTGTTTGTACTTACTGTGTCATCCCCTTTCATTCATTATGTATTGTGCAATGTATTATGTCAGAGGCTGTTGCATTTTGTGTTGCTTCAAACTTGATAATGCTGTGGAAAACTACAATGTATGAGTGTATAGTTAGACATGGTCAGATTCTTTGGTTCAGTGTTGGTTGTTCTAAATTGAAAATAGAAGTGATTGTCATTAGGTATAGAGCCACCTAGTGGTGCCATACATTTTGGGATAAATAGTTAACTCAGTTTTGGAAATTAATTATTTTTTTGTAATATGTTATTATTTTCATATCTGACATTCAATGTCAAAATATGTGAATATACTTTTTTAAATGTTGTTTTTACGTAGTCTGCAACCTTCCATTTATTGAATCTCAATGAGTTTTTAAAAAATGTTTTTAATAACCTACCCTGTTTTATTGCGTTTTAATGTTTGTGCTTGCCACCTATTAATTTCTTTGTCTCAATGTTTCATACAATTTAATGTAAAGCAATCAATGTGTATATGAAATGTGCTGTAAGTTAATTATTTACTGTCATTTATTATGCACAGACCTACATAAAAGACGCTTAAGTTATTTATGGGAATAAACTTATATATTCTTATAGATATGAAATTCAGATGATCCCTCCGTCGTGCCGCCTTCCTCCATTGAAAAAAAAAATCACACTGCTACAGCTGAACCAACTCTCCAGTGTTTTACAATTTAACCCGTAGATATAAACATGAGTATTACATCATTGATAAGGAGACGTTACAAAAGTCCTTTTAGGGCAATTTGGGAAAGACTGTGTCACTGTATAGATGATAATAACTATGATCAAACTAGACCAAAAAATGATCTCTGGAATCCAAAATTGTATGTCCGCTGTTCGGGGATACCGACTTAAAATGCAGAGAAGTTGATTTCAATAGAAGACCGCTGCAGCGTCGACTCCCAGTCAGAATGAAAATAGCCTCCATGTGTTTGGTCATGTGACCACGCTACGTGCGCAAAACGACGTGCGTGACGTAGCGGTGTAGGCTTCGCTAGTTTCCTCAACCAAACACTCAACTGATATTGTGTGATAAAAACTGGAAGTCAGCCGGTGGACGAGGGGCTATTTATTCAAAAAAAAGCACAGGAACCGGGCGGCACACGTCGTTTTAAACAAACTCACTCGCTGCTGTGTTGAAACTTGTCTCATTAGCGAGGAAGACGGCGAAAATTCCTCCTTGTAAACGCACCGAAGGCTAGTTTTTATTTTGCTGTGGCTGTCGAAAGGCGGGGAATACAAAGCGACGTGTGGTCAAAAGCATTTAATTTTGGACTCATTGAAGCAAAAACGGGATTACTACGAAGCCAGGTCGTGCTACTGTGACTGGTCAACGATAGTACATGGATTATCTGGTAAGTAAATGAATCGAAATGCAGTGGTGTTCCTCATTGCAAGAGCAAAGACTGCTTCTAACGTTTGGTTTCTTACCAGCTGGGCTCCTAATCAGACTGTGATGCCACTCAGGTGTGTGACTGTAAATAATGAGGCGTAGTACCAGTTGTTGTTTTATGCTAATATGCCAGCTGTAGCTTGTAGCTTTTGCCTGTCTGTCCTGTGGGAGCTAGGTTGAACCAAACCCCCGATCTGTTTACACGTGAAACACGATCACTAGCCAACTAGCTACACCCTTAAAGTACTGCCCGCTATGTAATGTGGCATTATGCTGTTGTTTTTCACAAAACACACTGTTGCTGCTGAGGATAAAGCTGCAATGTGTGTTGGATGAGGTTACTTGGTGTCAAGATGTCAAGATGTGGACTTGAGACAATGTAGAACCGCACTGGTTTGAGACATTAGTCCCTTGCATATTGTTAATACCTGTGACCAAAAGAATGATTGCAGTTCAAACCCCTGCACCAGCTTTGGTCTGGGAGATTATGGTTTTTGGGCCTTTGCCCACATTGTAGGGATGGGATGGGTGCTGCTGAAACAGAGCAACAATAGAGAGGAAGCTGTAACTGAAGGCTTTCCCTGGGAATTTATAAAGCCAGAGGAAAAAAAAGAGTACACAGACATTGTACTGTCATTTCACAGGGGGTGAGGGGGTGGGGGGCAGAGTGACAGTGTGAAATGCAGAGGAACTTGCCCACCCAGTGTTATCAGCTTGTTTATAATGGGCCTCCCAAGATGTGGACCTAAAAAGAACTTTGAACTTCTGCTTCACTGTGACATTTCTTGAGTTAAGATTACAAAGTCCTATCCGGCAACTGGCACCAGAACAATTGTGCCATAATCAATACAGACTGATTAATGTCTACAGCTTGTCTGTGGCTTCTGGCCTTGGTGTGACACATTTTATGGGAAACAAAAGGATACCAAAGTAGCACATTCACAGTGTACATGAGTTATTTTGTAAGCTTGGTTAGATGTCAGTGGAAAGTTGTTGGTACCAAAGGTAAACACAAGGGGTATTGTTGTCAAAAGAGCACCCTTGTGACATGAAATGAATGAAATCAATTTCTCCCTAAGCTCTTTTTCTTCTCCGGTTGAAGTGCTGCAGGACCAGGACAGCTTTTATTCACTTACATTCACTTCAGATAATCTGAGACCAATTGTGGCGTAGTGCAAAAATATTAACATACCTAAAGCATATTTAAGATCTGCGTGCATATTGAGAGGGGAAAATAATCCAGCTTGCATGCTTGAAGGATTTAAGGTTTTCTGTGACAAACAGTTTTCTGTGGAAAGCACAGCTGTAACTCTGTGGACTGTTGGAGCAGAGTGCTTGGCTGTCCTCAGAGGTCAGGCACTCAATAGGCGCGGGGCCTCCTTTCCTGCTGTGCAACACTGGAGACCTGGCACAAAACCCAGGCCAAAACTATGTCGCTTTCTCTCTCCTATAAATCAATAGGAACTTGTCGCTAAACCTTTTAATGAAAGATGCTAGTCTTATTTCCTGTTCATGCTTTTAGGTTAGGTTTTAGAAAAGATTTGGCCTATAAGGGTAGTTGGGATGAACAGGAATGGAAGCAAGTAATTACTGCACATTGCTGGGTAATAACAGTGGTTTGATTTATGACTGTAGTACATGAGAAATCTGGCTCATGTTGGATTCTGTTTCAACTGGGAGCTTGAGCATGTTGCAGACTGTACACTTGCCTGGTCAGCGTAGTGTTATGAAAGACCATACAAAAAGCCAGCACTGACAGAGGAATTTGGTGCTAGCTGTTGCCGTGGTACAGTCTTACCAAATTACAAGTGCACCATGTGGCCAATCTCTTGGACCATGACTTGTTGCAGACTTCAGCAGACTGGACACATTGAACATGTTGTGAGTGACATCACATAGAGAAAACCAAACTATGGCTGTATTGTTAAGATTGTTAACTCATACAAGAGCATGCAGAATTATTCTGAGGTTTTACTACCAAGCACCTTTGCTACGTTATGTTATTGCATATCATACTGTTATATATTATTTGTGCTCAGTTATGGCTGTAGGCAAATTCACAGACTGTGGAAAAATATATACACAACATTTGGCTTTGGTATCCAGTTATTTATTTCTGCTACACACTAAACCGTCAGGTGCATTGACATTCAGGTTGTTTTTGTAGCTCTGCCCTTGAGGAAAACAGACCTATGATGCTGTAAAAAAAACCCAAAAAACATTCCTTTTGCCTGGTGTTAAACAACCAGAATAGTTTTTGTGGAATTTAAATTGTGCATAAGATTCAGTGATAACAACCACCAGGAACTGACCTCAAACCATATGATAATAATGGGTGTGACAGATAAGAGAAGAGGGCCTCATCTGCTAAAAGGCTGGCCCGCACCTCTACTGTTCTGGCTCATGTTCAGGAAGAATAAACAGGAGGAAAAATTTGGGTAAAAACTTTGTAGGGAAAATGAACTAAATGGTCATGTTTTGCGTAAGAAAGGCTGATTATTTGTCTAATTATATTATTGTCTCTTGAATCCAATTCAGTTTCATTGAATATTTCTTTTTAATTTATTTCAATTCAGTTCTTTTTTGTTGTTGAACATTTGACATATTTCACCTTAAGTGGTGGATTTGTGTTTTGGTATCTGCATTATTCTTAGATTAGAATAATGTCAAAAACACTAACCCATTTAGTTTTCCATCTGCTGTTGTGAATGAATAACATTTTAACTTTAACTAGTGACAGAGGAAATGCTGCCTGATAGCTAAACCCTTTTCTTTGCTAGATTATGTATAACTTAGCTACATAATGCTTAGACTACAACTTTTAATTGCACTTTGGAAAAAGCAGACTTGCTGTTCACATGACTAGCAGGCTAATAATTACATTTTTTGAGAGACGTTGAACCTCACATGTATTCTTTCCATATTTCTGAAAAGAGGAAACATTTTAGACAACAAGTATACAGTAAGTATCAACTGAGAAGGCAGTTTTTTCAGCTGTCATTACTATTAATAGTTTTGTCTAGCAAAACACCTGTTTTCAGTTAGTTTTAAATGGTTACCCATGCTGTCTGCCACCTGTTCACTCTGTTCACTCTGTACCCTTATTTCCTTTTTGTGTAGTTGTATGTAGAGTAGAACAGCATACAAACTTTAATGTGGCCTGGTTTGGCTGATTGGATGTTGAATGTGTCAGGGTTGCATTTTTATACTGCAAAGCTCTATATTGATTCAAATCTGAGCAGGTATGATGCTTGTTAATAAACAGGCGTGATTTACCAATCCCCATAAAATGCAAAATAGGAGCAATCTTGTCTACTGATTATAATTTACCCAGTATTTTAATTAAAATAATTATTTGTCTACTTTCTCTGCAAGGTCTTATTTAGGCAGGGTTAACATATTTTTAATGGATAAATATGTGAAGATATCCTTGAAAGTCACACAGAATACCAATATTGGACAGCGTTTAAAATTGTAGAGCATTATAAATACAATATGTAGTCTTCAGCATTTTGGTACATAGCACCCAGCAAAGCCGTACAGCCTTAATCTGCAGTTAGTGAAGAGGAGACATTCCCAAGATAAGTAAGTAAGCTAAAAATGATGAGTTTCCTTGAAGAACCATAATTTTGAAATGTGAGATCTTCTCTGATTGCTATCATTATACTGAAAGCATTTTAGTACATGATGCCGCTATGGTACTGACAGGAGTTAATAGCTCAGAGGATATTTGTATTGTTCCACTGATTTCTTAAGAAAGGTATTAGAATACAAAATCAGTATGCAACACTTTGGAAAAAAAACATTTCAAATAGTCATGCTGTTATTTATCCAGTTAGCACAAGGATCATACCCTTATGAAAATAAATTGTCTTTGTAGAAGTCTATGTGTGTTTTTGGCCAACCAACTGTATTAATTTCAGAGCAGATCTCCTGCTCAAGGGCAGATATCAGGCTATAGCAGATTGACATCTCACTACTGTAACACAGGAAGCAGAGCTGATGGGAAGTTCTTGGCAGCACATGAATGCAGCTTGTTAGCCTATGGGATACAGGCCTGGTGTTACTTTTCCTCTCAATTTTGTCCTCTATCTGACCGTGTTACACACCTTGCTGATGCAGGCAGAGGTCGCTGCCAAATTCTCCTCATAGGCAAACAAAAATGACCTATTGTATGAAGATAATAGCACCAACACCATCACCATCTCAAATATGTGAACAAATATTAGGCTAATAATTTATTGGTTACACTTTGAATGAATGTGAATTGATATTTATCTATAGTTTGGTTAGTCAAGTTGACCAAACTTCCTTAAACCTCTCCTTTATTTAAAGTGCATAGCCTTCAGCTGTAATGAGAAATACCTTTCTGAGCAGCAGAACAGCATTCCTGAACCCTGTCCTTGATTTAAACCTGCCAGCAGTATGTCAGCCAGGTTTTTGTCTGCTAGTTAGCTCACTGCAGTTATTCCCTTGTGTCTGTGGAGAGTGCTAGTGAGTCAGCATCTTGGGCTGGAGCTACATCAATGCTGCTGTTGAAGATAAGGGAGTATTTATGGGGCTTCATCATGATCAAGCACAGGCACTTCCTTTCCTTTTTATATTGACATCCACATACGTTGATGGACCATTACTCGAAAGAGGCTTTAGTGAACTGTTTTTGTATTTTTATTGCATTTCCTTTACTTTCTCTCAGGACATAACCACTCTCATTGTGCTGGGCCCGACAAAGCTTTCCCTCACAAGAAAAAACAAATATAAAGGATTTGTTTTCAGTGAATTATTATTTTGCTCTTATTCTATATGAAGAGTGGCTCCATAAAAGCCATAAACAAATGCAGTTTGATAATCAGACCTTTATCAGAGACTCAAGACTTAGAGAAAATCATATCTTGCTGACCTACAGTCAGACTGAATGACCTACCATAGAACTATTGTATGCTGCTTTGTAACATGAGGTGT